CATATAATTTTTTTTTACAAAATTGAAAATGTAAAAAGGTTTAATAAAAGAGTAAAATTTTATTTTAACCTCTGAACTTCATATAAAATTTTAATTATAGATTTTTTTTGTAAATCTAAAATAATTTAAGGATAAATTTATAATTTAACCTTCGTAGAATTTTTATTATTCAATGACAGATTAATGATATTTTTGAAAGAAAAAAAATAAGGGCATTTTAGTCCAAAACGCCGGTAATCCAATAATAAGGAAAGGGAGGTAATGTCATTCCCAGTAATATCCCAAAAAATCCACTATTAGTAATATAAGATTACCGAGAATGACATTCCCGGCCAACCAAACGGGGGAATGTGGATTCCATTCCCATGGAGAATCTCCATTCCCCAACCAAACACAGGGGGTGTTTGGTTTAATGTTTTATTACCAATAGTAGATTTTTTGGGGTATATTACCGGGAATGTCATTACATCCATTCCCTTAGGTATTGTAACATTACCGACGTTTTGGACTAAAATGCCCTTAATTTTTTTTCAAAAATATCCTTCTCTGTCATTGAATAATAAAAATTCTACGAAGGTTAAATTACAATTTATCCTTAATTATTTTAGATTTACAAAAAAAAATCTATAATTAAAATTTTATATAAAGTTCAGGGGTTTAAAAAAATTATCCTTTCATTAAACTTTTTTTAATATTTTAATTTTGTAAAAAAAATTATATAAATATTATGAATTAATTTTTTAAAGAAAATATATAAATATTTTACAATTTGTATATTATACAAATATATAATAAGGACAATTTGGTCAAATATACATTCTATAATCTTTTATTCCTTTAACCAAACACGGAATTTTACATTCTTGCTAAACCAACCAAACAAAAATACAACATTCCCATAATCCTATTCCTGATAATTTTATTCACATGGTAATCTTACATTCGTGAACCAAACGCACCTTAAAACCATCTGTTTATGAAAGCTGCTTTGAATCCTTTATTGTACCAAAAAAAAAGGTTTAATACTAAAATAATCGCTCAAACTATATTATTTTTCCTAAATAGGTGTCTAAACTATTTTTTTACTCATCCAGGTGTTTAACGTTATAAACGTTACCCATTTAAGTGACTGGGCCATCAACAATATTAATATCTCTAGTTAAGTAAAACGTGTCAAAATCTGGTGCTTTTAAAATTTATTTTTTTAAAAAAATATTATTATATTTATACAAAACCTTATTTTCTTTTAAATTATAAAAAAGCTCCAAAATACCTAAAATCTCAAAATCTTATCCTTAACCCATCGAGATCGCGTGGGATGCAATTTTCATCCTAGGGTTCATGGGTTATAAAACATCGATTCGCTGTCGATCGATCACGATTTCATGGGGGTTTTGGTTGTCGGGGGGAGATAAGATCAGGTGGAGCTTTGTCGACGGTAAAGGGTGACGATCGGTGTGGATTTAGGGGTTGATATGAAGGTTTTCAAAGTTTTGAGGTTATTTCAAAAATGTTTATGTTTTTCTTTGAAAAAAATATTATTTTTTTTTAAAAAAATTTTAAAGCACCAAATTGTGACAATGTCACTTAACAGAGAAATTAATATAATTGACAGCCCGCACACTTAAATGGGCAACATTTGTAATACTAGACACCTGAATGATTTAAAAAATAGTTTAAGCACCTATTCGAAAAAATAAGTATAGTTTGGGCACTTATTTTGGTATTAAGACAAAAAAATAATTATGAAAAACAACTTAAACCAAAAATTAAAATAAAAAGGGGTAATTATGTATTTGGTCACCTAATTATTTTGTTCAAAATCATACTTAAAGTTATATTTTGATTCTATTTTGGTAATATGTCGTTTAAAAATTGTTGATGATGGTAACGCATCACATAAAGTGATGTCATGTCATCATCGAAAAAAATTATCATAGTAGCAATTATGTTTTTATTAACGATGGATGACCAAAACGGAACCAAACATAACTTAAATACAATTAAAAAAACGTGACTAAAATAGAATTGCATGAATAATTGGATGACTCAAAAGCACAGTTTACCCTAAAAAGTAATGATTTCAATACAAGTTAACCACCAATAGTCAACTTCATATATGAAGATTATGTAAAGGACAAAAGTCTCGAAGATTGCTTGCAATTCATTCTGATTATGGACCACGCTAGAAATATTTAATTAAGAATAATATAATACATCACACATGATCTTGCGTTAAAATAATTGAGGGCAATATTTGTAATACTAGGCACCTGAATTAAAAAATAGTTTAGGCACCTATTCGAGAAAAGAAGTATAGTTTGGGCACTTATTTGGTATTAAGACAAAAAAATAATTATGAAAAACAACTTAAACCAAAATTAAAATAAAAGGGTAATTATGTATTTGGTCACCTAATTATTTTGTTCAAAATCATACTTAAAGTTATATTTGATTCTATTTGGTAATATGTCGTTTAAAATTGTTGATGATGGAAACGCATCACATAAAGTGATGTCATGTCATCATCGAAAAAAATTATCATAGTAGCAATTATGTTTTTATTAATGATGGATGACCAAAACGGAACCAAAACATAACTTTAAATACAATTAAAAAAACGTGACTAAAATAGAATTGCATGAATAATTGGATGACTAAAAGCACAGTTTACCCTAAAAAGTAATGATTTCAATACAAGTTAACCACCAATAGTCAACTTCATATATGAAGATTATGTAAAGGACAAAGTCTCGAAGATTGCTTGCAATTCATTCTGATTATGGACCACGCTAGAAATATTAATTAAGAATAATATAATCACACATGATCCATGTCTTGCGTTAAAATAATTTGAAGGATTTGGAAAACAAGCAATCTGTTTTGTAAGTAATAGTGGGATAATTTTGTTTATAGCTGAAGGTTTTTCACAACCAAAGCCTCACCAAAAGAAAATCGCCTCAAATCCCATCATGATAAGCCCGAGTTTTGTTGTCGGAATAATAGGTGAAGAAAACATTCAGAGTATGTTACTGCGGATTTCTGTGTGTTTTCAACCTCTAATTTGCTTGTATTTTCTCCTGTTAATGCATCAGGCAACATCATCTCAGTCTTCTTCTTTCTTTCTCCCCTGTAAGTCCCTGTTTTTCTTAGTCTTACAAATCCTGCAAACGCAGCTGTTCGAATTTGAGTCCCACCGAGGCCGCTCAAGATCAAACCCGGGATCTAATGTTTTTGTGTTATTGCAGGAGCACATTCCGCAGAATAGTGAGGAACCGATCGACGGAAGAATTCGAGAGCTTTCCCTACATTTCGACTCTCTTGAACTCAACCTTGTGGACTTACTATGGTGCTACAAATCCTGGAAGTTTCCTGGTTGTCACTATAAATGGATTTGGAGTAGTGGTGGAGTTGATTTACGTAGCTTTGTTCCTTGTTTTTGCGCCTCCGAGAATCAGGGTATCAACTATCATCAACACATAGATTTAAATTGTAGTTGCGGTGATGTTTTGGTTACGTTTGACGGCGGCTATCATAGTATAATAATTTCGGACGACACCTTTATATGACGAACCGCTATTTAAATCCGTTATGAACCTCAGCTCCATATTTTCGAAGAATATAAATTTATGATGATATGTTTGTTGGGTACTTTTAGGCTAAAACTGGTATACTCTTTGGACTTCTCGACGTGGGATTTGTGGCAGCAACAGTTTTGGTCACCCAAGTGGTTGTGCATGGAGATCAGATGAGGATTGATGTGATAGGGTTTCTGTGTGCAGGCCTCAATATTCATGTATGCCTCGCCTTTAGCAGCGATGGTAAGATTAGCTTAAACTATCTGTTTTATAAGTTCGATAAATAACCGAACATAAACGAAGGGTGGGAGTAACATAGATTAAATAGTTCGAGTACGAAATATGTTGCAGAAAACGGTGGTGACGACTAAAAGCGTGGAGTATATGCCTTGCCTTCTCTCGTTCTTTCGTTTCTTAAACGGGGCCATTTGGACTCTGTATGCTGTGCTCGTCAAAGACATCTTCCTCGGTAAGTTCCAATTCGAAACTATATTTAAATGCGATACGAAAAATACAATCACCTCCGGTAATCATATTCGATAATCGTATTCGAATACGTATCTGTTTCTAATTTTATTCACTGCAGGTACCAAATGGGATAGGGTCACTTCTTGGAATAGCACAGCTACTGTTGTACGCATTTATAGCAGGAAGAGTAAGTCATCGGTAACATCATCGGATGAATGGAAAATAAGAGAACGCCTTGTTTCATCTTCAAGCAAAATGGATGAACAGATTCAAGTCTAGAGAATTAATATTATATTTGAATGTATTCTTCCACTTCTTTAACCTTCCCTTCCCTTCCCATTCATTCCTTGTATGAAAATGGTTTCTGAATTTTTTTTGTTTTTTGAGAAAATAGGAAAGTAGATTTTGTGGTATTTGGATATTAATGTAAGATATTTTAGATTATTTAGTTATTCTTGAAAAATATCATTTTTATTTAAGAATTAAAATTAATATAAATACTAAATATAATATTTGAAATATTAAATTCTTATTAATAAATGATATTTTAAATAGTTTACTAAAAATAATACTAAATATTATGTTTATATAGAATAATAGTAGTCACCATTAAAGTTTAATAATTAATAAATATTTTACATCATTATTAATAATAATTTAAATGTTTAATTAAAATTAAATTTTCGGTCAAGACTAAGTGTGATTTTAATTTAAAATGTTTAATTTTATTTCTTTTAATAATTATCATTTATTAATCCTTATTAAATTCTGTATAATTATTATATTTCTTAGTCCTTGTTAAATTATGTATAATTATCAGATTCCACCACTCAATGTGTGTGTTCTTCCATGGAGTTAACTCAATCGTGTGCTACACAATGAAGACGAAGTAGTTAAGAAAGATTAAGGAATTATTGTGAAATTTTCATTATTAAAGGTGAAGACGATGATGCTCTATTGTCCATCTAAACAAGCATTTATTGCCAAATCATAAAATGAATAAATCATTGATAAAGAACCTGGGAAGATTGCTGAACATGGAAATTTGCAGGTGCCCTGCTTCTCCGTACTCACCTGAAAGCAGAGGAGGAGGCTTAATGAAAGCAGAGGCTGATGCATTAAGCCTCCTAGGGACCAAGTGCATCGCGTTATTTTAGAAAAATAATTAATTAAATTTTTTTTTAGATAAGTAAGTTATATTTCCATCCAAAAAGAAACAGCCAAAGCTGCTACAAAACGTTACAAATAATTATGAACAAGCAACAAATTACAACCTCAAATCAATATAACCATGCCTATACAGCTTGATATTTACCTCCTCCAAAAGCCTATTTACAATGACATCAATCGAACGAATCAAATTCCTATGATATCGATGGTTACGCTCCTCCCAGATAAGATAGGGAAAGCCAGTCCACAACAGCTTAAGGGCACGAACTCGAAGGGTTTTTCCCCTGAGGTTTGACAGTAACCAGTGAAGCCGCTCGTCCCAGGCGCGAGCCATAAATGAGGGACCATGAGCGTTTAACACAGCTCCCCAAACGCCCCTAGCAAAAGAACAGTCATCAAAAAGGTGGTCACGGGACTCCATTCCAGCACCACACAAGCCACAGACATTATCAACAAGCAAGCCGAACCGAGCAAGCCTATCCTTGGTAGGCAGCCTATCGAGAATGACCATCCAAGAGATTAAAGAGAATTTGGGAATATAGCCAGGAAACCAGATTAACCTGTGCTAGCTAACTTTATCTCTACTGCCACGGATGTTATCCTAAATCCACTTACCATTGATTAAACTCCAATTAGCATAGGGGAAGAACAACCCCCTAGCCTCACCCCTCAACTTCAGCAGTTTAGTTAAGATCCAGCTAAAGTGAGATTTGCACTCAACCTCCCAGAAACTCAAAGATTTAATGTAATGTGTTAAGGGAAAATAAAAGAAAATAAAAATGTTTGCACACCCATTAATTTTAAGGGAAAAAAATTAAAATTTTAGATCTCATTATTAAATTTATGGATCCGTAATTGCCTGAAAGCCATAGGAAGAAAAGATTTTGAGCTTATGAGTTGAGTGGAAAAAACAAATAAAGTGTTATGCATTTATATACAAATTTTTAACAATGCCATATAAAATGACGACTGAGTTCTACCTTGTTCAGAATGAACAAAGATAAGCAGCTAGCACTCGACATTATCATCATCAAAGCTGTGGGGTCCTACACTTTCTTTGTTGGAATTTACAGTGCGATGAAAATGGTGAAGAAGGTTGATTGTTTCCTTCATTTTGTTCAACAGATATGGCCTTGAATTTGACAAACTCCCAGAATCTTCTTCTTACTGGTTTTTTTAATTTGTTTCTGCAGCCAAATACAAGGAAACCCCAGTTCTTTTGGTCCCAAAAATTTGCTCATCATGTCATCACAAATCTGTGTTGGGACTTAAAAATTCTTGATCTCATCATCAGTTAACTTGTTAGCCTAAACATGGGTCTGCAAATCTATGTTTAAAAAAACAAGTCTTGTCTATTACTCACTGTAAAAACTGGAGTTTAATTGCATTGCATGGGGGACACTGGTAGAAAGAAAGGTCCTTTTCTCTCATGGAAACCTCTTTCTCGTAATCCATTTCCATGTACTTATCGTGTAAAGTTAGTATTAAAGTATGCCCTTCTTTTCCCTGGAATCATGTAGTATGCATGTATATACTAGTCTTTCTCATCATTATGATCAAAACCAGATCCTGTTTAGATCTAATTCTCATAATTTAAATATATGAATCAATCAGATTTAATCCGAGTATTACCAAACCGTGACGAACGAGATCGAATACTCGAATGCACGCTGCAGTTTAAATCCAGGTGCATCAAATGCAGGCTTGACCTAGATTGTGACATTTGAAAAATGGGATTGATGGGGTATGAAAGATTGACATAGAGTACTGACCATCATATAAACTCAACCAATCCATGGGAACAAATCACGTAGTCTCAATGACCCAATTTCATCTTGAACTCCTTGGCGGCCTAAATCACAGCAGTTTAAATCAAATCTGAAAAGGAAGAGAGCAAAATCTTCTGATTTCCTTTTTAAATGTTCAAGTTTGTGAAGGAATATAGAACGAGTGTATACTAAATTTCTTTTGGCACAAAGTGATGCTACTACCTCAAAATACGAACAGAAGTTACAAATAATTGAATGAGCTGACTGATTTAAGTTCTAAGTTCGTATAACATAATAATATTAGAAGACATTGATAAACAAGATCTTCAAGAAGGCCAACTGAAATGAAAGTTCCTCCCACACACATATTTGATGAACTTTTCTTCTCTTTCTTGGGTCAATGATGTGAAGTGGGACAAAGCAACTTCCAAAATCGATTCACCTAGAAAATATACCTAATCAAGGAAACAAAGAGTTAGATTAGTGAGTACAAACACAATAGGTGTTAGTGAGAGAAGCTCCTCCTTCTCTCTAAAAATCAGGTGTTTTAGATAAGTTTTTCTATTTTCCTTTTCATTTCTCTTGATGGCGAGTAAGGTGAGAGTTCCTGTTAGGAAAAATTGTGTCACAGTGATCATTTTCAACATTCCTGAAAGTTTTCATTACCAAGGTCTTTGGTTTTTTTTATAAATATGGCGAGGTGGTTGATTCTTCATCCCTAATAAAAGAAGCAAGGGAGGAAGTAGGTTTGGTTTTTTTGTTTCACCAGACTGGAGGACGAGGAAGGCTATCAACTGTGTTGATAGTTCTGGATTCAGGTAACAAAGTTTAGAGTGTTCATGGCGAGATAATCCGTGATGTTTTGGAGGAAGAAGTTCTGGTCCATATCCAATCGAGGGCAAGAGTGTAGTGAAGGATGTAGTCATACGGAGGCTCCCTTTGTTGGTTCTGTGACGAGAGTAAGCTCTCAACTCTCAAAAACAGCTTGGTAGAATGGTGCAGAATTTTTATTAAGTGGGTAGAGTCGTCTTCGTTGGAAGAGGAAGTCGCATCCGTTATCCAAGGTGGGGAGCTCGTTGATGTCTCTCCAGTTAGTTTCCGAGCTGGAGGGGGTGCTGAAGAAGCAGGAAGATCCGTGCACTCTTCGGAGCAGTCGACCGAGAGGTGTAGACATAAGGAGGGTTTTGGCAACAAATAGATCTGACCAATTTTTTCAAGAGAATTTTACAGCTCCCAAAAGAAAGTAAAGGGGTTATCGAAGCAAGAGACATCAAAGTAGGTGCAGTGGGAGGCGAGGTGTATGTTTTTTATGGCAGATTATATATGATTCTGACTTTCCAGCATTGGGACAATCTCAACAGAAGGATGCGTTCGATTCCTTGCATTTTGGGAAAGAATTGGGTTGTGAGTCTAATGGCTCAATAGTGTATCTGATTTCAAAAGACTATGGCGGGGGAAGGAGTAGAAGTTTTAGGTGATCTGCATCATGCTTATTGTTTGGAGCTGGAAGTTCGGATGGTTTTAGCCGACAAGACGAGTTAATGTGGTGGAAAGGCGACTATGTGCGTGTTTTTTTTTGTATTCTTATATTGAGAAAGCTAAGTGGCTTTTGAGTTAGAAGTTGGCTTCTATGGTTTTAGTCAGCTGTTACCTTGGCTTTTATTATGGTTTTAGTCAGCTGTTACCCTTGGCTTTTATTATGGTTGTTTTGTTTTGTTTGGCAGGCCACGTTTAGGCTTTGAGTTTGACCAGTCTGTTTTTTAGGCTGTTGTTGTTGCTTTGTTGGATTAGCTGGTTCTGGTAGGATTGTTTGAGGTTGTTTTTGGTGTTTTTTATATTGGGGGTGGCTCCCTGGTTGTATCGTGTATTTTCTATGGTTAATGAAATCTTAAGGAACTCTTTTCCTCCTCCCGCTGATTAAGGAGCTTCTCTATAAGCTCCTTTAATCATGAAGGAGGTTTTTAACGAGACCTTCAATTCCTATAAAAAAAAAAGTTAGATTAGTACAAAAAATCCATACACACGTCCTCTGATCGATACTCGGTTATGGATACGGAGTGTGAACCATATGATCCTATAAATAAATAGAAAACTTGTAAAAAGGATTGATTATACCTGCTTTAAGATCATATTTATATCGGACACTTACTCTCAACTCTCAAGTTCGGGTAACATAGATGTTGACATGAAGTAAAATAAACATGATTATTTGTAAGCAACTCTTCTACTTCAGTGATAAATCCCTAATCACTTATAGACCACAAAAATAAATTTGTTTCTTAATCTGACAATTTAACATTAACCTTCATTATCAATTTATTTCTTTGTTCAATTTATTCTTTGTTCAATAATGATGAACGGTAATGAAATGAAGGTGGAAAGCATATGCTACAACGGAAGATAAATTTTCTATGAAGTAAAATGTGGTACTTACTGGCAAGCTATTGAGAAGAACTAATGCTAAAGAAACATGGAGTGTGCATGTTAAGCTCTTTTCTAGCTTATTTGGAATATATTTTCCGAGAAAAAATCCCCACAGAGGTTGATATTCAGTCAACTGAACTGAATGGGACCATTGATATCACATCACCAACAAAACAAAAGTTCCACCACAGGTTTGTTCTACAGCATCAGAGGAAGTGTTGGAATCTAAAAGGGAACTTATAAATTGTAAGCATTCTGTTGAATAGGGCCTTGAATATGTAATCTCGACCCACATCAAACCTGGAAACTGAACCGAACTTAAGCAAGACTCATCCTACAGACATTGAGAAACAAGGCAGTCATCAATAGTATATTATTACTAGCATCATTTTGAAGCATGTTTGAGGAATAAGGCAAAAGGCTAATTTTTGCTTCTGAAGATAAAAGTCTACCTCAGAACACATGCATCTGCTTCCGTTTTTCATTACTTTTCCCCTTCCATCACATTTTTCGAGATTGACAATATCCTTTGCATTCAAACAGAGCTCATTTTCTCATCTTCCAAGATCACCATCTTCATCAATCACATGACTGGATTAATCGGATCAAACAGTGAATTTTCACAAATGCCATGAAATCATAAGGACATACGGATTGGTTTTTGGCCAATTGAACATTCTTCCAGTCTTCCAACAAGGCATTGGGAACACAATATCCTTTTCAGCTATCTAGCACCAAAACCTTTAAAATAATGGAAATCACTTGAATTCTGAAGTATCTTTTTATCTAGTAGAGCAGTCATATCAATCCAATCTTGTACACCATGGATGCCTGCACCATCCAATGATACTATGGCATCCCCAGGAGACAAAAACTCAGATAATGGTGATGCTACGTCCAAAACCTATTCAAGACAGTAGAAAGATAAATCAAGGCAGCCCATCATCATACGTGCTTCAAATCTAAGAATAAAATGAGTAAAACGAAATGAAACAAGTAAATACTTGCAGTGCAATACCAAAGGGCTCTCGGCATGTATGTAAAATGGAAACAGGATCACCGGCTGCACGAACAACAACCATCCACAAAGGGCACAGAACCACAAGGGAGAAAAGTAAAAGTAGAGATGCATTAGATTAAGCACAGTTTCACCATTACAGTAAGGTTTTCAAACTCTAAATTCGACCACAATGACAAAGGTATATGTAAATTGATTCAAAATTTCAGTTTTGCATCATGGTTGGAAAAAACCAGTGTTTTGCAACCCAAATACAATGCTAAACTAAGTTTAAGTCGATCAAGAAATCATCTAAACATG